CACACACACACACAGAGAAAAGAAAGATGGGTTTCAGTTACACCATCAGAACCACAAAGAAATATGATTATAGCTTCTGACAGATTATACAGTCCAGTACCCCGTGGTATTTCACTAACTCAGCAACCTCTGCTGCTGATAAATTTATATATATATATACTTATATATACTTCTTTCCTCTATTTAGGGAAAACTATTCGACATATAACCAAAAATATGATATTAAGAGTTGATTTCTTGCATGACACGAAAGAAAAATGCAAAAAATGAAACCCCTCTTTAGAGTTTTCTGTGGAAATGTTCCCCTTAAACCAAAAGAAGATTCAGATAAGACGCTGCGGATCTGAACAAGAGCTCCATTAGAGTTTCAAAGTGTTTCATTTCATTTTTTTTTTTAACTTTAAATGTTCCTTTTTTTTTTCACTAAGTGGCAAAACAGAGACATGCAAATTTTAGTTTCCAACAAACCAACAGAACAAATAAAAAAAAATAGAAATGACAAAGCGGGAAGCGGAAGACGCCTCCTCGAAACCGAACGGATCCAGAATGCATCGCGACGTAGTGGTTTCCTCGCTCGTGTGCCGTCGTCGAGGGGGTCGAGGGTGTGTGTGTGTGTGTGGGGGGGGTCGTCCCAGCGGGTGGAGGGGCGTCGGTCGTTGCATTGAGAGTTAGAGGCTCTAAAGAGACGAGACGAGTTAGGCTGAAGGTTCGCAGTGAAGTCCGTAAAGTCCGATTCTCTCGCGCGGAGAGTCCGCCAGTCCGCGGTTTGAATTCCTTTTTCCCTCCTGAATCCCAGAACGAACTGGCTGCAGCACAGACCGCAGGTCAGTTCACACAGATCACACACATCATCGCCGTCACACACACCAAACACACAAACTGGGTAGAAATCAGACCATACAAAAACATAATAAAAAAACAACAACATAAAAACATAAACTACGCAAACAGACATGAAATTGGCATGTGGGACCTTGGACACAAATCGTGCATGTGCTGTCCTTTAAGGGGGGGTCAAAGTTCATGTAGTGGGTAGGGGTTGTTTCATTAAGTCCTTTAGTATTTAGAACCAGAGCTTCCCTCCAAAACACCTCCCCGAAACCAAAAATAATCCACAATTTCTTATATTTCTTGCGAGGAGTCCAGCGTCTGTCTGGCGTTCCCTCGCCTCCTCCTACTGACCGGTTCTGGGTCGAAGGGCAACAAAAGAAGAAGGAGAATAAATGTTTTCCTGTGCCGAGTGGAGATCTGCAGGAAGACTCTGTGAAATCCTGCAAACAGTCGGGAAACAGTCAGTCAAATATGGAGTCAGTCAGTCGGTATCGGGTGTTTTTGTATTTGAGTTGCAGTCGTGGGGACTCGATGAGTGAGAACTTCCCCCGTTCTCCAGGATCGGAGCCGGAAGAAGGCGGCCAGGTTTTTATCAGCGGACTTGCTCGGGACCACAGTGTGCTATTCCATCAGGGAGAAGTAGGAGGAGGGTAATCTTTATTTGCCCCAAACGTGGCCCAGAAGTCAGACCCTGCTAAGCGATTAGTGTTATGTGCCAAATCAAATCATTCATTCATCGACTGTTTTCAGTCTGCGTTTCATAAAAAGGGGGCAGTCAGATCCAAAAATTAGTTCCAAAAGGTGACGTTCGATTGTAATTCTCTAATCCAGGATTTACCTCGCGGGATGAGCCGATCTCACAGATTAGATTTAATCCAACAAACGGTCGATGTGTCTCTAAAACCCAAAGCTCATTCACCTCAAAGTCCATAACAAACAGCAGCTGCTGATTCCTCAAAATTCACCTATTTTATGTTTTATTTGAACCGCCGACCGGCGTTTTGTAGAGCAGAAAGACGACCTCCGGGCGATTGCTGGCCGAGAGCGCCTCAATCGACACCAGGCTTCATTTCCCAGCATGCTCCTGTGGCTCTTAGATGAGCGGGTCGGGGTGCAGGGTGTGCTGGATCTGCTGCGGCTGCAGGGGCGGGGGCAGCTGCAGCGGGAGCAGAGCCTCCACCATGTTGTGGCAGTGCGGCGGCGGCGTGCCCTCGCTGCTGGAGCTCTCGGCCACCTCGCCGCCGTGGAAGAAGTAGTCGCTCTGCACGATGAAGGACTCGATGACGGCCTGGTTCAGCTTGGTGGTGGACAGCGTGTCCTTGTTCTCGAAGTCGGGCCTCATCAGCGTGGGCCAGAAGCAGATGGACAGGTTGTCGGCCGTCATCAGGGTGGTCTTACTGTGCTGACTCACCCTGAAGGAAGGAGACGCAGAGAAATGGTTAAAAAATGACAAAATCTGCCGTTAATTGTGATTTGTGTTAATATGAAGGAAAATCTGTATTGGTTGTGAAGAATTGTTGTTTAACAGGTGAACTGTTTGGTATGAAAGCTGTATTTTCTAAGTGTATTGTCATATCGAGGTCTTCCTCTGCTCACTGTACAGTTACAAATGCAGACATACTGTATGTACTGTCACTGTGGGAATTATGGGTAAAACCATGATGACATTAATAGAAACTTTCATTTAATTCATCAGCATATACAGAATCATTGTAGTTACTCCACCTACAAAACAACGTATTTCACTTCACAGGAGCTCAAACTCTACAAACTCAAACTGTTTCACTTCAATTAAAGTTTTCTCTGAGTCATTCATTTGGTCAGAAACAGAGATTTGTAGAGCAATAACATGATACAATCCTATAATCAGAAGTATTGAATTATCAGCCAGCCTTATCAAGATGTAGTGTATTAAAAAAAGACCATAAGCACTGCCAGCCTTCATTAATCGTCTCCTGGCTCAGTGAACCGCCTCAGGATGTGGACAAACTAGATTTATCACTAAAATTAACACTAAAACTGAAATGAGGTTCTCGTAAGTAAACGCAATTTGTCAGCCGTTGTGAAGACGGAGCTCCAGCCAGAAAAGGAGCTGATGTTGTCTCGTCTTACAGGACGCCGACCGGCAGCTGATGTTTTCAATCAATAACTGATGAAGTGTGACATCACGATTAGGGTGGTGGTTCATCAAATTTTCACAAAGCTAATTAGATTAACGGCAGCTGTCACTGAACGCTGTCCAGCTTGTTGGCTGCTGTGTAGAACAGGATGAAGAGAGACGGGACTGTTGCTGCGTCATCGGGCTCCGTCCCAGATCTCATTATTTCATCAGTTCAGGAAATACAAACCACAGTTGGATCAGCTGCAGCTCAACGACTCGCAGGAGGAGATTCGCACAGGGAACTTGTGGCATTCATTGATTTTCTTGTATTTGGATATTTCTGTCAGGTACAAACAGATCCAGAACTGTCGTACGAGTCAAGTTAGATTATCTGACTTTCTCAACGGGGAAAGAACACTCGTTTGACTTTTTATTGGCCTCTTTCAGCAGCTTCAGCACTTTCTCTCCGGGTCTTTCTGCAGGTTTGTGTCCAGTATCAACACCAACAGCATCACGTCACTTACACATCGTGGCTGTAATATTACAGTGAACGTCAGGGCAATATATATCGCGGTGAATCTGCATTATTGGGATAATCAGGATAATATATTAAAAAGCTGTCTAGCTCGCTACCGTACAGTCTTGACTTCCTGTTTTTTTTTTGAATTGTTACAATAAGCAGCCAGTAGCTTTCCAAAATCCTGTCCCCTTGGCTAAAGGCTAGACCAGGAAAAACGATGGATTTCAAACTAAACATCGACAAGGAGACGAGGTTATAATAAAATAATGTAATAATAAAAATAAATGTTTCTCTACTAGATGTATAGTAAGGTGATTCCAGTATGTTTTTGATGATTATCCCGATAATATCGTGAATCGCAATTATTGTCCAGGATAATAATAAGCAGGACACGCGTTAGCAGCTGTATTATGTGATATTAATTTATTGTTTCAGGTCCGTCAATACGATTACTGACACCTGCTAAACTTTAAACGTTCTATTTATGTCTGCAGAACTTGAAGCTCTGCGGGGTCAACGTCTTGTCCTTCCCGCAGTGACCTGGGTCCAGTTGCAACCCACGGCCCCTTTGCTCTATAAATAAAGTCCACTTAACAAGACAAACCGCACAAAAAAAGAGAGAACTATTATGGATAAGAGTAGGAAAATGGCTGAATGAGAGGATCAATACAACAGTCTCCACTGGTCACTGGCTCTTTAGGTTTAAACTATATGGTTGATGGTTTAAGAAGTAATCACTCTGGACGAGACAGAATTAGCAACAAACAAAGGAAAGAAATAAAGACAGGACCGTTTCCTCCACTGGTTAAACACCCAGCGCTGTAATAGTCTGCTGGATGTTTTAAAGCAACTTAACCTCACTGTAAATGTTCTCCCTGCTTATATTGTCTGTCAGTATATTTGATCTTCTGCACATTTACAAAAAATAAAGGCACAGTGAGCTGCCGACGCTCACAACGGTGTCGGCCTTTTTTGTCAGAACTGTGCCTCGTCAAAATGCTGCGGACGTTCAGACGACAGTTTAAGTCTAAATTGAAGCCGACCTGCTGCGATGTGTTCACTGTCACCTACGGGTATACAAGCTACATTGAAGCTTTCCATCCTGAGGATTTAACCTCCAGCACACACTGGCAAGTCAGTGTGTGTGTGTGTGTTTATGAGTATGTGTGGAGTGTGTACCTGAGTTTGAGTGTGTGTGTCTTACCTGTTGAGGTGTGTGATGATGTATTTGAAGACCTGGTAGTTGACAGAAGGAAACTTCTTCACGATCTCCCGCAAGACCTGCAGACGCTCCATGTAGTCCACGATTTCTGACACACACAAACACACACAACACCACCCACACCACACCACACACACACACACACACACGGGGAGAGAAGACACAAGGTGTTTTACATTTTACACACACTGTCTCCTGGGAACGAAAATTATACTCTGTGGAAAACAAAAGGATGAGATGCTGCCAGGAACTCCCACGCTGCACGCACACACACACACACAAAACATTGTGGGCAGAAACGATACCAGCCTGCATCACGTCTTACTCTGCACTGGTTGAAAACAAAACATTTTTTGCCGACTAAGACAATAAACACATTTGTGTAGATTATGAAGCCTCAGAGCTGAACAGACTGGAAATAACACACATAACTCCTCTACTGAGCTTCTACCCCGATAATATTGATATTTTTAAGGGGTTTTTCTGCCCGTTCAGTTCAGTCCTTTTAGTTTTAGTTAAGATGAGAAACTTGATTTATAATCTGGGGGTTTGATGTTCAACCATACCTGTTAGCAAAGAGGCTACATCACTGTCCCAACCTGCTGAACAGGCTGAGCTTGTGTGAAAATATGTTCGCTGTGGTTTTATTTCTGAGAGGGTTAGGACACTTTTTTCATCTCCAAACTCCTAAAATGAGGTGTGTTTCAACCGGGCCAAAAAAGTCAGACCCGACCCGACTGGAATATCAAAGCTAAAGTAAATTACATTATTATCAAAACTAATTAATAACAAATTCACTCATTTATTATATATAAAAATAAATATATACATGTTTAAAAATCAAACTCTGAAGGAGCCCGACCTGCGGCAGCAAGTTCTGGGCTCCAACCCGGCAGGTCTTGTCGGGTAAAGTCAGGTTGCTCTAGTGAACGGAGATAAGTCTGGCTATGCACGTGGGAGACGTCTACCTTCAGGGCTTTCTGCCCGAAATGACGAGAGAATAATTTATGATGTTGAGAAACAGAACATCTTTTTATGATCCACAGCACACTTTTTATAAGGAAATCCTCAAAAAGGAGGCGGTTTGGAAGGAAATCAGGGAGCTGCTGAGAGAAGTAAAGGCTCAGATCTGACTTTGTTTTTTGTTTGACTATTCCAATGTGAACTGTTCTTCCTTCCAGGTGTGTTGACTGTAAAGTTTTAGTGCTGTCAAGGTGCTTTTTGAACAGCTCATTACTGTTTAAATCACAAAACACACGATACAAGCTCCCAGGGCACAAATTCATGTCTTCAGATTACTTATTTTATAATGAGAATATATTTTGATAATAAAACTGAAATAGTAATAAGCAAATATAGGCTGTTTTTACTCGATAAATAACTTACAACTGGTAAAACAATAATACATTTTATTTATTTACGGAGAGCTTTTCATGGTACTCAAAGAAAATACATTAAAAAGGTAAAATTATTCTCAAAATTGTCAGATTCATTTTATATTGATGAACTGAATGTGAACCCTGTGAAACAAATCGTGCCTCTCTCGTATCTCATCTCATTTATCTGATTTTTGGAATGTGTAAAACATGATTTTAGTGGAAAAATAAGAAAATAAAATTGCAAATTGTTTAAATAAAACATGATTAGTGGTCAGAATAAAATGATGAAAAAGTCAAAAAGTCAGGGAGTGAAAACTGGGAATATTTAGAGAGAAATAAGAGAAACAGTACTGAGGCTGCGGTCCTGACAGTTGAAGCTGGTAGACACGAATACGTAGTGGCAGCAAAACAAAAACAAAAACAAACAAACAACTGAAAACACATCCTGCCGTCTTCCTGAGGAAGTAAACCGTCTGTGAAGTTCCTCGATATTCCTCGTCCTCCCGAGAGATTCCCATTGCTTTCCCTCCGGCTAAAGCTCGTTGGAGCTGAAACGCTGCGCTCAGTTATTAAATATTGAAAGAGCAGATGTGAAATACGAGCGTCTACCTTTGCATTGTCACAACAAAGGTACTTTAAACCTGACCTCCCTCTCCCTCGCCTCCCTCGCCTGTGTGGAATTCTCTCCAGGATATTCCAGACATTCCAGCAGCAGCGGGAAGCCTTTTATATTTTTAGAATAAAATTTACAGCTGCACATGTAACGGCGCTCAGATTCATTCATCCCCGCACGCAATCAATCATCTTAACGAGGAGCCAACGGGAGCCTTTGACCCTCTGATGCCTGGAAGAGGTCAAAGGTTGTTAATCAATGCCGCCGTATCGCCACATTAACTAGAAATAGAACAGAGATAAACAGGTTAGTTTAGTCTGATGGGAAAACAAAAAAACTGTTTCTCCGTGTACCCACAATGCAATGGGTTCAATGAAGTGATAAACTACAAAGGATGAGTTTAGATGAAAATTTAATGACCTCTGCGCCAGCAAAAGAGGCTGCCGCTGCAGAAAGATAAAATATAGATAAAAGAAAAATAACTGAAAATAAAAAGAGAAAAGCTTCAATAGAAACTGAATGAACGTGTGAATGAATGACTGAGTTCCAGCTGTTCAACATTACAATTTACCAACAACATTCATCTCTTTATTCTGTCCAACAACAAAACAACAACTATTATTCACACCCATTTATCCAAAACAAGCCATTAAACTCATCCATCACACGTCATATCTGTGTGAGCACAACTACAGTAAATATGGAAGGTCAAAGCTGAGCCAGGAAGTAGCTCTGCACAGTCTCAACGTCATTTTAAACTGTTTGTATGATACTGCGAACTCACAACCCTCGGTGACCGACTGCAGCTCAACCAGAGACACGTTCCTTTATCAGTGTTTGCTTTCAACATAACGGAAAGATAACAGAACATTCAAGAAGGAAAAGGAGTAACAATCTCGCAACCGCACAGATTTATCCCCGTGATCCGAGCGGCGCTCCTGAACCACGGCTTACATTAGAAATAGTTCTGTTTCCCACCAACTGCAGCAGATTCACAAAGTTATTTTTAATGATTCGTATCTGTTGTTTCGCCGTTCGTCTCATCCTCTGCATCACAAACAGGAAGACGGCTCCACCCCGGCAGAGCTTCGGGATAATACCATCAAACCCACGGCGCTCTGAACTCTCTCTACAGGACCTCATGTACCCATAATCCTCCACTCTGCTCCAACGTGCACAAACACACGGCTTAGACTTTCTTTTGCTCTATTTATTGTTCTTGCTGGCAGGAGAAATGGAGCTTTGCCTACAGCTTCATACACTCCTATATTATTCCCATATTTACCACTAAATTACACAAATCGTAGCAGAAACTTCCTCAGTGGAAGCAGAAGTACCTGTGCATCCCTAATTTAAACCTGTGTCATACCTGCCCGTCAAGTTATGTGTCCTAATAGAAAAATGGAATTATATTTATTAACAGAAGCCAAAGCTAAGACAGTAGATCCCGAGTTGTAAACAGGTCAAATCGACATATTAACATTCATCTGTGGAGCAAAGTCAGAATCCTCATTTCTGAGTTTACTGCTGCATGAAAACAGCCAGGAGGTCAAAGGTCAAACAGTCACTGTAGCCCGTCTGTAGTCTTGCGATTAGAGGGAAATCACAGGAGAGAGAGAAAGAGAGAGAAAGGAGGGGATGTGGTGAGAGGAAGAGAGACGAAGAGAGATGAAGGGGCAGAAATTGAAAGCCAGATGAAAAGAAGAGTTCCTGCTATATGTGATTCTTTTTCAAGAGAAGAGCACCGCCTCTCTCTCTTTCTCTCTCTCTCTCTCTCTCTCTCACTTACTTATTATAAGACACTCATTAAAGTGTGTGTGTGCTCACATATGAGGTCTTTCTACATTTTTTGTTGTGTAAGCGTGCGTATATATTTGGCTCATTAATCTGCTGTCGTCAGCCGGGTGGTTTCAGCACTCAGCATCACTAATATTCACACACACACACACACACACACACACAGAGCAGAGAGTGTGTGATGTGACAGAAAGCTGTGTGTGTGCAAACCTAACGAGACTCCTGCAGCATTGAAGACAACAGCTACAACAGACGAGAGGTTAAAAGTGTGTGTGTGTGTTTATCTGCAGCTCCCAGTTATTGTGTGTGTATGCCTGCGTGTTTCAGAATAAATTACTTCTAAGAACTTAAAAAGGTCTAATGAAATTTTTAAAAAGTGTGTTTCTCCTGGGCCCAGCAGGTATCGGGTATCTCGGGTGTTTCTGTGTGTTGTATTCTTACTTGCGGCCTCCACCAGCTCCGGGTGCAGACTGTAGGGGATCAGAGGGTCGGGCAGGTCGGCAAAGAAAGCCTTCAGCGCTCCGGCGGCAGCGTTCACCGCCACGTCCATCACCACAAAGTCGATGCTGTGATCTACAAAGGGAGAGAGAGAGAGAGAGAGAGAGAGTGAGTTTGATTTTCTTCACAGAGACATATTTCATGTTTTCATATCTGTTGTTTCACTGCAGCTTCAGCTCCAGTTTGTTTCATCCTCTGCATCGCAAACAGAGCAAACAGGAAAACGGCTCCACCCAGGCAGCGCTTCAGGATGATATGATCAAACTCACAGTGCTCGGAAATCTCTCTACAGGACTTCATGTTCCCACAATCCTCCACTTTAACACTCTGCTCCTCCAATTCTTCCTCAACATGCACAAACACATGGCTCTGACTTTCTTTTGCTCTATTTATTGTTCTTGCTAGCAGGAGAAATGGAGCCTTTCTTTCAAGGAAATTTCTAAATTCCTATATTATTCCTATAATTAGTACCAATAAAAAAAAAAGACATAATAACAGATCCTTGAAACAAAGCATTACCGGTGTAAAGACTGTATTTTACTGTATTTTTAAGTTATCTGGATTCTGTGAAAGAAAAAGGAGCGAGAAGAAGAAGAACTCTGCCACCCTTTCTCAAAATAAATAAATAACATGAGGATAGACACTTCCAACAAAATAAGAGCACACAGAACAACACGACTAAACATAAATATTACTCCAACTACTCACTTCACATTGAGCAAATCTCATTTTTTTTTACACATTTTCTTACATTGACTCAAATTTAAGAAGCAATATTCCCCAAACAAAGAGTTTGGCACTCTACATGCTGAAATGGGCAGATGGATTAAAGTCATGCTGACAGTAATTTAATAAAAAAATCATCAAAATCCAACAGAAACTTTTAAAAATACTGAAACTAACCAGCCTACACAGCCACAGTGGACCGGCTCAGTCTGATGATTAATAACAACAAAATAGTGTTTGTCTGAAAAAGAGTGTTTAATATTTTATAATCAGAACTGGAGCTGTTCATGGGGTTAACTCAGCTGACAACACAAAGCTTTTGTCAGAGGAAAAAACTCTTTACTTGATATCAGAGCAAACACAGAGCACACGTCCCCACTGATTAATTAAACTAAATCAAAAAGTGGACTTTCTTTCAGCCTAGTGAGACGTGTCCATCCCAGAACACAAGTTTAGACAGAGCAGAGTGACAGCTGGTACTGGAGGAGTCTGATGTCGGACGTTGGAAGGTCAGAACAGACAGAAGAAAGTCCTGCACATCTCTTTCATCAGACAGGTGCGTAGGAGCGGGGTGAGTAGATGAAAACGTTGCAAAGATAAAGTCCTGCACACTGTTTAACTTGCAATATAACATTTATTCTGCCTCATCAGGTTCAAAGGAACGGATAGCTGTGGTATTCTATTCGTATTCTAGTTCCAAAATGTAAAACACATATTTTAGGAGTTGCTAGTGGATTACCACAGCAGACTGATATATTACTAAAATATCCCAAATACATTTTGTTCCAATGGCTTATAAATAAATAAACTTAAACTGGGCTCTGGCATCAGCAATTAGACTGGCTCTTTTAGTTTTGGAGTCGATATGAACGTCAAACAGCACAACCCTCGTGCTCATCATGGGCCCTCCTCGAAGCACAACTGAACCCTCTTTGGGAACCACTGACCAAGACATCAACTCTATATAATTTATCTTAAACGTTTCAGTTATTCAATAATGAACAAATTTCAATAACAACACAACAATCACTGACAGTCCAAAGGCTAAAGCCTGCGTAGACGACCCAGTGTTCCCCTCTTTACAGCAAAGCCCTTTAGCATCGAGTTAAACTTGAGCAGCAGAGTCTCAGACGTGGGTTTGATAACCCACGTTGATCCATTCAGATACGGGACTTTCCTGGGTCAACGCTTCAGTCTTAAGAATATCAAAGGAGCTTGCAAGTATTTGTGTTGCAGCAGCGAGGCTCACAGCTGAGCTTTGTGTCTGAGCAGCAGAACAGAGCTCCTCTCTGATCACAGCTAACAGAGGTTATCATCAGCTATCTGTCTGCAGGCACACAGGCCTGAGTGTTTCTCTGATGGAGCAGCAGGGCTCCGGCAGAATACACGTCCAGTTCAAACATCCATTTTTCTGCTCTGTTGTTCCTGCAGAGAGAGGAGGGAAGCAGCACCATCGCTCAAGTCTGACTTGACTTTTCTGTTTGGAAAAGTTTTGAAAGCGAGCAGGTCGGCTCATCTCTTCAGTCTGGAGCTGGGGATCAAACCGGTGTCAGCTTTCTCATTAACCTCCAGGAAAAATACTGAGCAAGGACGGCTCAGAAGAGGAAGGGAAAAAAATCACCCGTCAGTTACCAGAGATACGGGCTGAAAAATAAATATATATCACTTCCTGTTTTGACACGCTGACGGCCAAATGACGACGGGAAGGAGGAGAAAGAGGGAGGAGAGAGGGGAGAGAGAAAGAGGGCCGAGCCCTGAGGTAACACGACAGCTGTCACGCTGCATCTGAAAGACTGCCAACACACACACACACACACACACAAACACACAAACACACAGAGAGCTCACCAGAAATACTCTCAAGGAAATAAAGAGACAGGAGGGGAGGCAGTGAGGAGAGAGATATAAACAACAGGAAATGCAGAAATAAAAGGAGGACAAAAAAGGACGGAGGGGACGCAGGAGCACAGAGACAAAATGAGGAGATTAGACGAACGAGGGAAGTAAAAAAGAGGAGAGAATCAAAGAGGAGGTGTTGTTTAATGGAGTGTAAACAACCAACAAATGCTGCTTCAGCCCAAAACTGTTAACCAAGCAAAACCGCAGCGACCTCTGAATCCCAGAGGAAGCCCAGCGTAACTCCCCGAGCAGATTCATGTAAATCTTCAACTATTTCCATAAAAATGCATCCAGCTTATTTAGTGGAAGTAGCCGGGAGCTGGCAGCCCACCATCCCCTCCTACTGACAGAGGAGCTAATTGGCTGTAATGGTGCTTTTCACACACGGATACGATCGAGCTGCAGCGAGGAAGGAGGGCAGTGCGAAGCCTGTGCAGAGTCTAAACACAAATACACAACCTGGCAAAGTCGCCTACGGCAAGTCATGAGGGGGAGGCCTACAGGGAGTAACACAGAGTTTATTTAAGATGTCCGGGAACAGCAGGTTGACACGGTGCACAACCTAAACCACAGCAACTCTAATCTCTGACAGTTACAGCAGCGTTTGACTTTGTTTTCTTATTAAAAGACTGCCATTATGTGACATTTAACACTTAAAGATCCACAGGAAGAAGAAAAAGACACCAGATGACTGAATGAAAAGCATTTTGCATGTATTAATCCTTATATTACCAATATGTGAACGGTTTGTAACGTAACTTAAAAACTGGAACCTTTCTGATTTCTGTCTAAAAGGATTCGGGACAAGTTTGCTGTGAAAATCCAAAGCATGTGACATTTCTGCGCACTCTTGAGTACCAGTGTTGAGTAACAGTGTGCAACACTAGCTAACATTAGTGTGGAGTCAACGAACAAGCAGCACCCGCCACAACACAACCTCAAAACATTACTGCAAACATTTAAAATATAATGCCATATTGTGTTTCCAGCGTTTAACTAACGCAGATATATTGCTATCTCGCTAAAACACAGTCTTGAGAGAATTCATCCAGACTTGAACGACTGATCTGGGTGGCTTTGCTGTTCGAAGGTTGCTTTTCATACATGTGTGGTGAGCCTGGTTGGGCTGACCTTAAGTTTGTTTGCTCTGTAACAAAATACTGTCTGAGTGGATATGTTAGTCGTTACTAATTATCACTGGATTCCCTCTGATACTAAAGAACACCTGAACATGATGATTAGGCGAGATCAGAAGATTTAAGGGGCTTAATCTCGTTTATAATATATAATTTATGGATTAATATGTGGACTGCTACTGTGTGTATGACGTCTGCATGTTGCAGTATGACTGACACTGAGACTGAGGGTGTGTCATTTCTTTCTTTGGTGTATTTCTCCTTTATTAATAATACTTAGCCATTATCATGTAACGACTTCTGAGATGCCTATTTATGACACAAACTGATTAACATTAGACTGACCAGCTCGTCTCCGTATTCCACCACCTGGCTGTAAAATGAGCGACACTGCTGAGCGCGTGCTGGTGATTTCTGCCTGTGGCGACTTTATTTACACCAACAGCCGGTTTGGCTGCTCACCAGCGCTCGTGTGCAGGTTCCACTCGGCTCCGCAGGGCATGTGTTTCTCTTTAAGCACTTCTGCTGCGTGGTGAGATTTGGAATCAGTTTTCTCTGTGGGTTGAATTTATTGCACGCATCACACAAACGCCACTCCATTAGTAACATGTTTTCCGAGGAACTCCTGAGTTCTTTAAACGTTCATGGGAAAATAATTTAGAATCACGGCCTGTGAAAATAATGAGAACCACCGACCTCTGTGCTTTGAAAGTCCAGGGACACATGTGCTCCTTCTTCGGGTTTCTAGGTAGTTGAATATGTATTTATGTGTGCAGGTGTGTGTTTGATTGGTTTACCTTGATCAAACTGTTTCTGGATGTTGTCCTGGTCCGTCTTGTTCCCACTGACGCGATACAGGCCTTCTGTCGTCAGACCTGCAAACACAAACAACATTCAGTTCAGTAACAGCTCTGATAGACTTCAGTCATGTGGAATTTAATTTAAAGTGTGTTAAAGTGTTGAATTTTAACACATGGGCCAACAGGATGTGTAATTGGTTTCAGCTTATGTGGTTTTCTGTAACCACATTCTGAGATTTCTTTTTGGCTTTTTATGCCATAAATTCCAGAAATGTCTCAGAACTTTCTCTTTCTAGGGTTTAACAGCCTCTGAAACTCATTGTTTCATGAATAATTTGGGCCTTTTCTCAATAAAGTCTGGATCATTTCTGGTTTCCTGTGAACAGCGCTGTAGTCAAGACCACCTCTATCGAGTTTCAGACGAGTCCGAGAACCAGGACTAAGATGAGTCCAAATGAGAGAAACAGACTCAAGACCAAGACAGTGGCGGCCACCAACACATCAACATCACAATCCATGTATATATAGCTACATAGCTACAAATAATAAGCTTTTAATCATGCATGAAAGGTAAAGAATACAGCAGAGAAAAGAAGAAAGTAATTAAACGAGAAAGCAAAGACAGAGGCAGCAAACCAGCTCCAATTTTCTTTTTTCAAATTAATATAGTAGATATTTCTTTTATTTCACAATCGTAGTATTAAAGTCTTTCCATCTCCCAGTTCTCTTGTGATAGTTTAGCCATTTACTTTATTGTCATTGTTATTAAGGTACATTTGATATGTTTATCTCTTTTTATTCTATTTTAGCTAATTTTTGTTTTAACATCTATGTGCACTTTTTTCATAATGTACAGTCTGAACTGGATTTATCTACAACCATCTATGAGTAAGTATGAGCCTTTATGTTTGCTGCAGCCATAAATATTCATTGTTATTTGTTAGCCTGTTAAATATTGCATTGTGCGTCAGGTAGGCGTAATCATTTTCTGCCTACACCATTTCAGTCATTACTACAATCTGTTGTGTCTGACATGTGCCTGTTTAAGCACTCGGTTACAGTTTCTGGTTGCAGTATTAAATGATCAAATTCTTTTCGGCAGGTCTCCCACATAACCTTGTATACATGATGATGGCATCTGGTCCAACGCAGAGCAGTGGTTTGCCTCAACAACACGACAGTTTCTGCAGCATGTTCGTTCATAATTCAACAGCAAAAAGGCTGTGAAACAATACCAAGCATTACTCATTCACAAGAGGAAACACCAACCTGAAGCTATCAATTTGTCGACATCAACAACAACGTTAACAGATGAACAGTAAATAACAAACAATTTAGTTATTTTGTGTTTGAGCCTTCAGCTGGTCTGAGAGCAGCATTTGTTAGCGTCTCCGACCGTAAATATCGCAGCCAGCTGGCACCTGACAGCTGATCTCAAACCAGCACATATGGAGACAAGAGTGTCTTAATTACGGCTATAATGTGTGTTCTGGCAGAAGGGATGAGCACAAAACACACACACACACACACACACAAAACACACACACTCACACACACTTCATACAGGTTGTAGTTCTGCTCTGTCGCTGCTGCAAGGTCATCCACACTGCAGTATACATGCCTGAGTGTGTGTGTGTGTGTGTGTGTGTGTCCACCCTGCCTCTCTGCTGGAGCTCTTCACAGGAAACTCACACACACACACACACTGACTGTTGGATCTGCACGGCTGCTGTTGGACTGAACCCACCTTCCACGTCGACTCGGAGGGTTCGGGGGCGAAGTCAGTGTGAACGTGAACACCAGGGATCCCCATTCGACCAGATTTAACTCCTCCAGACGTAAAGAGAAAGAGAGAAAAGAGCTCTCATTCTGGTGTTGGATCAGCTTTAATATTTCGGAGCTCTCGGTTCCTCGTCGCTGTCTCTCTGAAGGACATTATGCAGTTCACGCTTTCTTTCTGTGTTTGGAAAATCTGCAGAAATGAATATGGTTTCAGTGCGCACCGTGAAATCAATTTCTTAAGTTATGTGCTAATAATCTGCAGCAGTATTTGTTCATGCTGTGAAAAGGCTTTAACCATGTACGGTGATTTTCCACCTTGGACTCCAGAACATTCATATCCTCTAAAGTCTTGGTTATTCATTTCAAATATAATTAGCTGTTTTCCTGTTACACCCCCTTCTTCAAAATTGGCAATTTCATCCTCATTAACAACAAACTTCACAAAGCAGCTCGTAAAAAGCGGATATTAAAACTATATTTTAACAATCTTTGAGCCTCTTTTGAAGGACCAGCGGGTTGGATTTTGTGCCATCGAGTGGTGAAGCTGCAGATTGCGACCGACTGAATACCGCTCGCCAACTCCAGTGGCGGGAAACGGCCTATCTGGAGCCGGTTTGTCCGTTGGTTTGTCGGTTCAACGTTCAACATCGATTGAATATCGATATATGTCGACGAGAACCGTTATAATGTACGACACAGCTCCGTCTGTCTCGTTTCATGCTTTTTATTATTTTTCTGTCCCTCGCACAGGAAGATGACGTCCACATCCTAAATCACCAACCACTAAAACAGTCTGAGATGTGTTCAGTGACGGTCGGTCATCGTCTGCGTCTCAATAATCCTCCAGAAGTTCGTTTTTTTTTATCTACAAGACAACTTTGAAATTGTTCTTCGGGTTAATTAGCTCAGTGTTCTCAGACACCTGTGTGGAGGAGACCGCACAGTTAAAACCCTGAAAATCTATTTATCCATTTATTTATTTGCCTCTTCTATTTCACATTTGGTTTTCCAGCAAATAAAACAGCCACTGATCGAGTAATCAGAGCATCTGTATTTGTTATTAATAAGGCAGCCGGTAGAGTGGGTTATTGAGCTGGGATGAAAATAGACAGTCTTACACCGATATGACGATGTGAAGGCTGCTTTCTAAAATAAATAACTTTATTAAAGCATAGTTACGGTAAATATGATGTAATGTAACAAACAGGCTTCATTGTCAACCATTTATAGAAACAAACGCTAAGAAATAAAGAATAAATAAATAAAATAAATAACTAAAAGCTATCATTCATCATATACTGTGAATAAAATGTTTACATATTGCTGCATACCAGATTACATATACACCCATACTGATGTGGCTGCAACAGAGCAATAATAATAATAATAATAATGATATTGGCCGCCCAATATATCGGTCAGACAGTCAGTTATTAAGAACTGGATATCATTCATCACCCATATCTGATGTGATTCCTTCTGTGTAATGATATTTAATGGCTTTTGTTGTATAATTAATCAATATAAACCCGTTTATGCGTATGGGAAATATCACCTGAATCCATCTTAATTTCAAAATATTGATTTTGATTATGTTAGCGTGGAAACATTGTGTATAACAAGAGGAATATTAATGGTAATAGAGTCTGAGCGTCCTGTGACCTGCTTGTTGCTTCAGAGGCTTTTCCACTCGGCCAAGAATAACTGGGGGAAACACTGTTGTTTGAAAAATGTTGGCAGGAGGAGGCTAAATTTTAGGATATTGAATACTGGCACAAAACAGCAGCTTCGGTCCAAAAATATCAGACTTCTTTGAAAACGTGCATGGGTCAAACCAGAAAACGGGGAACATTACTTCAGTTAACTGTACATCATAATGTGCTTAAAAACGTGCTCAAACTTAAATACAATGACAAAAAAAAAAAAAAAATCAAATACACAAATGAGTTATTTTGGCAGATGTGATAAAACAAGCTGGGCCTGTCAGCTGACACTAATTAATATTAATGTAACATGCAAATAAAACAGTAAGACTTCTGTCGTCTGCAGGAAGAGAGGTACGGAAAGCTCGTCGTCGTCCAGCGCCGCAGGGAGCCGCATGACTGATAAACAAACAGTAAACACGTCACCCGCCGCACCATCAGTCTGTCTGTACGTCACCTCGGGCCAATCAGCTTAACATCGATCTGCAGATCAGTCCCGCCCACAGCTTCACCAGCAAACAGCACAGTGGGAGGTCACGTGGTGAGAGAGGGTCAGACGCAAACACACGTTTGGCAGATTATAAAATGAAATACATCATCAACCAGGAACGTCTGGGGACGGGTCACTGCTCCAATCAGGGGGAATATACAGAATATAAGGCTGGAAATGACATTCGAATGATCCAAGAACTTATGTTGCATAAAAGTAATTTAGTTTTTAAGAATATGAGAAATATGTAGATGAATAATGTGGTCAGGAATTTCAAGAATTCAAGTCTTTTAGGGGTTAACCGCTCTACTAACTAAAGTATTTTAATCAGTTTCCATTCTCCTCGGAGGTCAGCGTCTCAGTGAACTTCATTTGCATTTTGTTTTGTAAAGAAGATCAACTTACTGTAGCTCCTGTGTACTGAGATTAAAGACTTACTGAGGTTTTACTTAACAGTCATTGCTAACAGTTAGCTGATTATTTTCTCAAGTAATCAGTTTATAATTTGCTTAATAAAATGTTAAATATTTATAATATTAATTCATATTGCACAGTGAGAAAAGCTGAAGATATTAGATCTTATTGTACCTTTCAGTAGCTCTTGATGTCTCAGTTTGGCTGCTAATCTAAAGTTAAAGAGAATTAAAATCACGACCTTCAGATATTATATATTTCGCAGAAAACACTATAAAACGTGGTTCAGTTTTATGTCATATGACAAAGAAAATCAGCAAATTTTGGGGCATTTTTGCCTTTAAAAAAAAAAGACTGAAATGATTAATGGACTAATTAATAATATCTGATAAGAATCCCGTAAACAGTGTTGTTCTGTTGTTGATTGTCAGCACTGACACTTAAAGGGGCCACTGTTGTAATGTGCTCAACTTAAAAAGAGATTTTTAAAATACTGAAAGTCTCTGATCACCTGAATTTCCTTCCTAAAATATATTCAGTCATTTTGACTTAATTTACTGATTGTCCTTTAAAAAAGTAGCAGAATTAGTTTTATTCCATCAATCATCCGGTGAAAGTAGGTGTCACCCCCCCCCCCCCCC